AATTAAGGGGAGGAGCAGTAGGTAAGGAATTCTAGGGTGGAATCTAAAGGTGACATCCTCTGCTTTATGTTCTATAAGTATGTGCGGGGCCTACAGGGAGCTGCTGTCTGTTGGGTTCAATATCTATTTCCTATTGCAGTAAAGCCCTGTGTGCCTGCTCATGTTCACCAGGTGAACAAACACAACACCAAGGTCCCAGGAGATGGACACAGGATGGCTGCAGTGAGGAGCGTTAGTGAACCCTTCACCCTTAGAAGGTAACTCACATTTGAGTTCATGCCTGTGCAGCTCGGTGTTAAATGCATATTAATTACACTCTCCTGGCAGCTGTGAGTGAGGATGTATCAGAGACCCACACACACAACTGAAGTCCCGTGGTTTCCACGTGAAGAGAACAGTAACCTCCATCCATCAATGAGCCACACGGTGCCCTGTGGGGGCAGAGACTGGAAACTAACAGCATTTAGCTGGGCGCTGTCTCACGCGGCAGCTCCACGACCCCCATGGCGGCTGAATTAAAGGTCCATGACATGCAAGTCCCCCTGCTCAGCACAGGAGCCACATGTCAGGGGCTCAGTGGCCACAGCAGCTGGTGGCTGCCACGTGGGAGAAACCGACGCAGAGTGAGTCCTCGCTCACAGAATGTCCTGCTGGACAGACTGCTCTGCATGTTGTCTGGGCCTCAAGTGAGAGCACTCAGCCCATTTGCATAAAAGGGCCAAGATGGGACCACACAGCTCCCTGCGCTGGCTCCTGGCAGCGAGGCTGCTTCTCCCCAGCGGCCCCTCCACCCTCGCTGCAGGCGGCCTTGTCCCTAGATGGTCACTGAGCTGCCCACCCATAGAGCTGCCCCTCCTGACACCACCATCTAGAGCAGCCTGCTCCCCAGACCCTCCCCCAGGCCGCCCATCCAGAGCCCACACCCTAGATGTGTCCTCTCTCCCTCCTTCCCACTAGGATGCCCCATGGTCCCCGTGGGAAGCGTTCTCCCTCCAACCATGATGACGAACCCACCTCGCCTGCCCACAGGGAGCCTCCTGGGCTTTGGCTGAGGAACACTGGGCCAGGGACCCTTTCTCTGTCAACATCTTTGTGCGTCTCTGACTTTGATTCTGGCCCTGAGTTTGTATCTCTGGGGTGTGAGGTTGACATAGAAAAGTTTCATGTTTTCCATCTTTGGGTCTTTGATGGAGAAATGCTCATTACACAACTGTAAAGACTTCCTATATAATTTCATCTGGGGGAGAGCATTCCAAGGGAAACAGAATTATTAGAATGTTGGGGGGAAATTAAGGGGAGGAGCAGTAGGTAAGGGATTCTAGGGTGGAATCTAAAGGTGACATCCTCTGCTTTATGTTCTATAAGTATGTGCGGGGCCTACAGGGAGCTGCTGTCTGTTGGGTTCAATATCTATTTCCTATTGCAGTAAAGCCCTGTGTGCCTGCTCATGTTCACCAGGTGAACAAACACAACACCAAGGTCCCAGGAGATGGACACAGGATGGCTGCAGTGAGGAGCGTTAGTGAACCCTTCACCCTTAGAAGGTAACTCACATTTGAGTTCATGCCTGTGCAGCTCGGTGTTAAATGCATATTAATTACACTCTCCTGGCAGCTGTGAGTGAGGATGTATCAGAGACCCACACACACAACTGAAGTCCCGTGGTTTCCACGTGAAGAGAACAGTAACCTCCATCCATCAATGAGCCACACGGTGCCCTGTGGGGGCAGAGACTGGAAACTAACAGCATTTAGCTGGGCGCTGTCTCACGCGGCAGCTCCACGACCCCCATGGCGGCTGAATTAAAGGTCCATGACATGCAAGTCCCCCTGCTCAGCACAGGAGCCACATGTCAGGGGCTCAGTGGCCACAGCAGCTGGTGGCTGCCACGTGGGAAAAACCGACACAGAGCGAGTCCTCGCTCACAGAATGTCCTGCTGGACAGACTGCTCTGCCCGGTGTCTGGGCCTCGGTCAGAGCACTCGGCCCATTTGCATTAAAGGGCCTGGTCTGGCCGGTGCGGCTCAGTGGGGTGAGCGCTGTCCTGGGCACTGACAGGTTTCAGGTGTGACCCCGGGTCAGGGCGCATAGGGGAGCCAACCAATCAGGTCTTCTCTCTCGCATCCACGTTCCTCTCTTTCTCCCTCTCCCTTCCTCTCTCTCTAATGTCAATAAAAACATATTTTTAAAATTCAAAGGAATAAAATAAAAGGGCCAAGATGGCGTCTCCTACAGACACGTCAGGTTTCTGTCTGGGATGTGAGCGCACACTCAGCTGGGGTGGAGAAACCACATGGGTGTCTGTGGGCCTGGTGTCTTCAGGCACAAACTGCTCCCTGTCCCAGAGGGGACACCCCTGTCCCTCCAACTCCCTCCCAGGCTGAGGACACTCCCTGTTGGATTTCCAGAGTGAGCTCTCTTCTAGAAGGTCCCAGAGGCAGTGCTGTGAGCTCAATGTTGGGGTGCAGGGATCCCCCCTTAGGCAGACGGATTCTGGGAAGAGAAGAGGAGGAAAGGCAGGGCCAGTTGGGTATCTCTCCCTGGTTTATCCAGATCAACCTTTCTCAAAGTGCGGTCTGTGAAACCTTGAAATATCTGAGAGCCTTTCCCGGGATGTGGGGGGTCAGCACTGTTGGGGGAGATGAAGGACATCCTCGCCTTTTCACTCTGCTGACATGGGCGCTGAGGCCAAGCTCAGCACGAATGGGCTGACACCTGACCTCCATAGTCCTTCCTCTTCCCCAGCACTGACTTCAGAGAGAAGACAAACAGACACACAGACAGACAGACAGACAGACAGAGCACAAAACCAGTTTCACTTTTAAATGACACGGCACGATTGAAGGCGGTGAAATTATTATCTTTACTGAAGCCTCATCCTTACATCCACATTTTTAAACATCGTGGCCTCCGGTGGAGATGCCCCAAAGGTGGACGCCGTTCCTGCATCGCCCACACCCACAGAACAATGACCACCACCCTCCCCACAACCAGCACTCAGAGCCGCCTGGAACCCGCCCAACAGGATCCTACAGCAGCCACAGACTCAGCCACAGAGAGCAGACTGCTGGCTGCTGGAGGGCAGGGGAGGGACTGGGCACAGCAGGTGAAGGAGGAGGAACTATAACATGGTCCTTACAGTGTGGTCACGGGGAGGGAAAGGACAGCACAGGGAACACAGTCAATCACATTGTACCAACTACATGTGAGGCCACATGGTACTAGATGTATGGGGGTGATCACTGTATAAGTTATATGAATGTCTATTCACAGACTTGTACACGTAAACTAATACAATATTGTACATCAACTACAGTTGAAATATTAAAGGTATTTTTAAATAGAAGATATATGTATCTTGCATTCATTACACTAATGGAATAATTTCTTAACTGTCTTTAATAAAAATGCAGGATTAAAAAAAACCTTATATGATGACCTGGGAAGTACATTAAAAACATTTCTGCCACATCCCCAAGTGTCATGTACCAAGGAGATCATGTGTGTGAGCGGGGCTAGCCTCTTTCTCATGGGATCCCATATTTACATGTTTAAAAAATTGAGTCCTAGGTGGTCTGTCTCCATGGATGGAGCATAGGTCTGTGGAATGTGCTTGGAATGTGGTCTCAATTACCAGTAGGGGGAGTGCAGGAGGCAGCGGATCCATGATTCTCTCTCATCATGTATGTTTCCATTTCTCTTTCCCTCCCCCTTCCTCTCTGAAATCAATAAAAAATATATTTTAGAAATTTGATGTCAGAGAAGAACTGAGAGGGAGGCAGAGATGGAAACATCCATGATGGGAGACAATCATGGACAGGCTGCCTCCTGCACACCCCCCACTGGGATTCGAGCCTACAACCCTGCAGGTGCCTCACCAGGAATGGAACCCTGACCTCCTGGTTCATAGGTCAATGCTCAGCCACTGCGCCACACTGGGCCTGGCCCATGTTGACTTAAAAGAATGAATGACACAAACACTGGGATTGCTGAGATTTGGTGAACTGGCTCACACTTTCCCAAACATGAACGGGAGCTTCTTCTTCAGGAAATATCACCTGGCAGGTGACAACTGACAGGCCTGTTGTCTTGATAAAATATCAGCCCCCAAGAGAAAAGCAGAATGTTGGAACAGGTGTGTCCCACCACCGGAGCTAGACCGCTTCCCAGTGCTGACATGCTTTTCCAGGGGGCTCTGTGGGAACAGCAACACCTGTGAGCTTTGATGATGTGATTCAATGCATCAGCACGGGAAGGTCTCTAGGACTTAGAGACACAAGGCATCACTTTACATCACCTGCATGAGGACCAGAGTCACCCAAGCAAGACAGCCCTGAGGACTGTGACAGAACAGAACAGAAAACATTCAATATTCCCAGCCAGCGGGGCTCGCTGGTTGAACATTGACCTATGAACCAGAAGGTCACAGCTCACCTCGTTGTCAGGGCAACTGCCCACATTGTGGGCTTTGTTCCCAGTTGGGGCGTGAAGAAGGCAGCCAATCAATGGTTGTTTCTCATCATTGATCTTTCTATCTCTCTCTCTCCCTCTTCCTTCTTCTCTGAAATCAATATAAAATAGATTTTTTTAAAAACATGAGTTCTGTTATCTCAAAGGCAGTGACATGCGACATGGACTAATAACTGCTTCACCCTGTGTGGCTCCGTGAGTGGTCACTATGATGGCGTCACCACATACACAAGGTTATCTGGGCGCCTGCCTGTGTGTGAGGCCGCACAGAGATGGTGACACCAAAACCTTGGAAAGTCCCTGAACAGCACAGCGCCTGGGCCCGGCCTCGGGGACAGTGTGACGGGCGCCCCGCGCAGGAGGAGGGGCAGGACCGAGTCCCAGGGCCCAGGCCTGCGCTCAGGGCTCCGCAGGGGACAGAGTCTGGGGGTGCAGCTCCGTGTGGGGGACTCCCCAGCGCCTGGGTTTCACTTCTCCTCTCCCAACCTGTGTCGGCGCCTCCTTCCTGGAGACTCGTGACGCGGCCACACTTCTCACTCCCATTGGCTGAGCGGTTTCTAGCGCAGCCTATCAGCGTCCCCGAGGCTCCCGGTTATAACTCCTCTGCGGAAGGGTCCGGACTCAGATCCTTCCTCGACGCCAAGGATGCGGGTCCTGAGGCCCCCCACCCTCCTCCTGCTGCTCTCGGGGGCGCTGGTCCTGACCCCCAGCTGGGCCGGTGAGTGCGGGGTCGGAGGGGGCGGCGGTGCGGGGAGGAGCGAGGGGACCCG